ATTAATATACAGGATTTATATAGCGCCAACAGTTTGCTCAGCGCTGTACATAATCGGAGACAGTACAGTAACAATACGAGTCAATACTATACAATGCTATATAATAATGTAATACTATAAGATTTTAGTGTATTTAGTGAATGTCACATTTTTGAATTTCCCGCCGGTTCCGTCACCCGTAAGTCCCGTACGCCCCGACACTCGCAGGGAACGGAACCCGTAAGACGGATGCCGGCATCAGCCGGAGGACATTGCAGGGGACGCTGCAGAGGGGACATTGCGGGAGTGAAGGACAAGGTAAGTGCTGGAGGGATCCCTGAGCAATGCTGCAGTGTATTCCCGAGTGTAGCTTGGGGTTACCGCTTGTGGTGCTGAAACTTTAGCCCGAGCTACACTCGGGAATACCGCCAGGGGGGTTAATCAGCCCCACCATTTTTATGGTGGGAAAGTCAGAATGCAATAGCACAACAGAAGGAATTCTCCTATCCACATCAAGTGTATGGATAGGGGAATCGAGTCATGTTCTATTGTTCATCCTGCTGGTTGAAAAGGAAATAAATGACTTGTCCAAATTTCTTTCGAAACGCTTGATCGTTTGACTTTCTAAATGTTAGTGGCTCCATATACAGTCAGGTCCATAAATATTGGGACATCGACACAATTCTAACATTTTTGGCTCTATACACCACCACAATGGATTTGAAATGAAACAATCAAGATGTGCTTTAACTGCAGACTGTCAGCTTTAATTTGAGGGTATTTACATCCAAATCAGGTGAACGGTGCAGGAATTACAACAGTTTGCATTTGTGCCTCCCACTTGTTAAGGGACCAAAAGTAATGGGACAATTGGCTTCTCATCTGTTCCATGGCCAGGTGTGTGTTATTCCCTCATTATCCCAATTACAATGAGCAGATAAAAGGTCCAGAGTTCATTTCAAGTGTGCTATTTGCATTTGGAATCTGTTGCTGTCAACTCTCAAGATGAGATCCAAAGAGCTGTCACTATCAGTGAAGCCATCATTAGGCTGAAAAAACAACACAAACCCCCATCAGAGAGATAGCAAAAACATTAGGCGTGGTCAAAACAACTGTTTGGAACATTTTTAAAAAGAAGGAATGCACCAGTGAGCTCGGCAACACCAAAAGACCCAGAAGACCACGGAAAACAACTGTGGTGGATGACCGAAGAATTCTTTCCCTGGTGAAGAAAACACCCTTCACAACAGTTGGCCAGATCAAGAACACTCTCCAGGAGGTAGGTGTATGTGTGTCAAAGTCACCAATCAAGAGAAGACTTCACCAGAGTGAATACAGAGGGTTCACCACAAGATGGAAACCATTGGAGAGCCTCAAAAACAGGAAGGCCAGATTAGAGTTTGCCAAACGACATCTAAAAAAGCCTTCACAGTTCTGGAACAACATCCTATGGACAGATGAGACCGACATCAACTTGTACCAGAGTGATGGGAAGAGAAGAGTATGGAGAAGGAACTGCTCATGATCCTAAGCATACCACCTCATCAGTGATCATGGTGGTGGTAGTGTCATGGCGTGGGCATGTATGGCTGCCAATGGAACTGCTTCTCTTGTATTTATCGATGATGTGACTTCTGACAGAAGCAGCCGGATGAATTCTGAAGTGTTTCGGGAATATTATCTGCTCATATTCAGCCAAATGCTTCACAACTCATTGGACGCTTCACAGTGCAGATGGACAATGACCCAAAGCAGACTGCAAAAGCAACCAAATAGTTTTTTAAGGGAAAGAAGTGGAATGTTCTGCAATGGCCAATCACCTGACCTGAATCCGATTGAGCATTTCACTTGCTGAAGACAAAACTGAAGGGAAAATGCCCCAAGAACAAGCAGGAACTGAAGACAGTTGCAGTAGAGGCCTGGCAGAGCATCACCAGGGATGACACCCAGCGTCTGGTGATGTCTATGCGTTCCACACTTCAGGCTGTAATTGACTGCAAAGGATTTGCAACCAAGTATTAAAAAGTGAAAGTTTGATTTATGATTATTATTCTGTCCCATTACTTTTGGTCCCTTAACAAGTGGGAGGCACATATGCAAACTGTTGTAATTCCTACACCGTTCACCTGATTTGGATGTAAATACCCTCAAATTAAAGCAGACAGTCTGCCGTTAAAGCACATCTTGTTCGTTTCATTTCAAATCCATTGTGGTGGAGTATAGAGCCAAAAATGTTAGAATTGTGTCCATGTCCCAATATTTATGGGCCTGACTGTAGTTTCTTGAAATTCAAAGTACTTTGGGTCAACCCCTCTCGGTGACATATTGTGATGGCCTCACACACCTGCAGTGAGCCAAAGAAGGTATCGGGGCTCAGGTATAGCATGGACTTCCTAACTGAAGACAATTGCCCACAGGAGGGCCCCGGGAATGGCAACTGTTGCTGCATCTCAGAGGTCGCTTGGTAGGATTAGTATCACTGCAAGTAGATGTTAATAAGCGTACTCCATGCAGCAGCTGCAGGAGATGTTATATGGCGTTGTCTGATTAATCAACTGACCTGATAAGCTTATGCTAGTAGAACAAAAATAAGGATCAGCCGGTTCCATGAATCTTTGGAACGGATTACACAGAGGCTGTGACACCTTAGGTTTATGTGTTCCGCTCTGATAATTGTTTGCTCTGATTTTATCAATTCTTATTAATGAGAGTTCGATTCCTCCAGGAACTCTGCGTAGCAATCTTTTATGGCCTAACGTAGAAATCACAATTCACTTCTTGCAAGATATTTCAGCTCCCGGTTTCAATTTTTTCCCCCATGTTGTTATGTTGCAGCCTGAACTACAGTTGTTTAAAGAATTTTTTTTCTCATTAATCTACACTCAGTACCCCATAATGACAAAGTGAATACAGAATTTTAGAAACGGCTGTGAATTTGTTAAAAAGAAAAAAACTGAAATATAGCATGTACCGTATTTTTCGCTCCATAAGACGCACTTTTTTGAAATGTCAGTGCGTCTTATGGAGCGAATATGGAGCGGCCGGTCCTGTATTTCCACCGCCACTGTGTCAGAATACCGGGCCGGCCGCTCAGCTCTGCAGCGGGACCTTACCTGTTCCTTTATCCAGCGGCGCGCTGTCTTCCCGGCTTCTGTAGTGTGGGCGCTGGGCGTGACAGCCGGGTCCCAAGTGCGCATGCGCAAGAAGTGGTGCTCTTTGTGAATGGTAAGGCAGTACCTGGGACACATGACAGATCCCAGAAGCCACCGGACCAATCACAAAGCTCAGCGCTTCTCACTCATGCGCACTGGGCATCCGGCTGTCATGCCGAGCGCCATTACAGAAGCCGGGAAGACAGCGCGCAGCTGGATCGAGGAACAGGTAAGATCAAAAAAAAAACTCTGGGGAAGTAGGAGCGGGTACCTGTCAAATTCAGGTACCCGCTCCCCACCTCCCCAAAGGTCAGCAGTCATCTGTACTGTCCGCAGTCTCTGGTCATCTCCTGTACTATGTCTGCAGTCTCTGGTCATCTCCTGTACTATGTCTGCAGTCTCTGGTCATTTCCTGTACTATGTCTGCAGTCTCTGGTCATCTCCTGTGTGCTGTCCGCAGTCTCTGGTCATCCCTGTGCTGTCCGCAGTCTCTGGTCATCCCTGTGCTGTCCTGTCAGCAGTCTCTGGTCATCCCTGTGCTGTCCGCAGTCTCTGGTCATCCCTGTGCTGTCCGCAGTCTCTGGTCATCCCTGTGCTGTCCGCAGTCTCTGGTCATCTCCTGTACTGTGTCTGCAGTCTCTGGTCATCCCTGTGCTGTCCGCAGTCTCTGGTCATCTCCTGTACTGTGTCTGCAGTCTCTGGTCATCCCTGTGCTGTCCGCAGTCTCTGGTCATCTCCTGTACTGTCCGCAGTCTCTGGTCATCTCCTGTACTGTGTCTGCAGTCCATTAGTTCAGAATTTTTTTTTTCCTGTTTTCTGCCTCTAAAACCTAGGTGCGTCTTATGGTCAGGTGCGTCTTATACGGCGAAAAATACGGTAGATTTTATTGAAGAACTGCTAGCTTTTTTTTCTTTTTGAATGCGCTGGAAGTTGAGGCACAAGATAAACCTCTGCTCAGCTTTTGCCACACAGTTAGTCAAGGGGGTGACGCAAGTGATTGGCTCGTAAGAAGTGAACTTTTTCTCCACTGAAAAAAGCATGTTAGTGAAGGAACAAAATGTCTAAGGCCAAACAGTCCATGATGAATTCTGACTGGTTGGTATGGATTACTGTCTCTAAGGCTGCATTCACACCTGAGCAGAGCGATTTTGAGGTGTTTTTATTTAAGCATTTTTAGAAGTGTATTACAAGCATTTTACAGCTTCGGGTGTTTTCGGTTAGCCAATAGAAAGCACAGGGGGGGCGAAAGGTGAAGGAGATTAGGGGTGGAAAGCTGCTGTTTGAGCAGAAAACACAAGACAACAAGATGGGCAGCACAGTAGCTAAATGGTTAGCACTTCCACCTGGCAGTACTCAGGTCATTGGTTTGAATCCCAACCACGGCACACACCTGCCTGGAGTTTGCATGTTCTCCCTGTGCCTGCATGGGTTTCCTCCCACATTCCAAAGACATGCTGGTAGGTGAATTGGTTCCTGTCTAAATTGTCCCCAGTATGTGTATGTATGAATGTGAGTTAGGGACCTTAGACTGTACGCCCCTTGAGGGTTAGGGACCTTAGATTGTACACCCCTTGAGGGTTAGGGACCTTAGATTGTACGCCCCTTGAGGGTAAGGACCTTGGACCTACGCCCCTTGAGGGTTAGGGACCTTAGATTGTACCCCCCTTGAGGGTTAGGGACCTTAGATTGTACGCCCCTTGAGGGTTAAGGACCTTAGATTGTACGCCCCTTGGGGGTTAGGGACCTGATTGTACGCCCCTTGAGGGTTAGGGACCTTAGATTGTACGCCCCTTGGGGGTTAGGGGACTGATGTGAATGTATAATATATATTTAAAGTGCTGTGTAAATTGATGGTGCTATATAAGTACCTGAAAAATAAAATAAAACACCTGTAAAATGTTCATGTTGCACGTTTTCAGGTGTTCCTTTGCAGTCTATAGCACCCAATCTGCCCGAAAAGAAGCTCATGTGCTCTTCTGAACAAGAGGTGTTTTGCTACAGGAGACAAAATGCTCAAATGTGAACACGGGCCATTGAAACAAGTGGGATTATCTTTGTTTAGCATTTTAGGGCTTCAAGCAGAAAACGGATCAGGAGTGAAAGGGGTCTAAAGCAAACCTGAAGTGTTCTGAACTTTCCCAGCCCAAAACTGTAAAACACATAGCATAGCAGACACCTCTGCTTATCTTAGTCTAAGGACCGGGTGCTTCAATATTCACTTATTTCCAGGGTCCATCATTCTGGACCCTAACCCTGCTGATTCATGCCTCTCCAAATGGATCTACTGTCTTAGTTACTGTTACCCAAGAACATCCTCGTCTCCAGGACTTCTCCAGAGCTTCCCCCATCCTCTGGAACTCTCTACCCCAATTTATCAGACTATCTCCTACTCTGCTCACTTTTAGACGATCTCTGAACACCTCTCTCTTCAGGGAAGCCTATCCTGCCGTCAGCTAATAATGGAATCTTCTACTCTTCCAACCAGTCCATCCCCCACAGTTACTACCTTTTGTACCACTAGCCCCTCCCTCTTAGATTGTAAGCTCCCAGGATCAGGGCACTCCTATCCCTCTTGTATTGAACTGTATTGTTGCTATATTGTCTCCCGTTATATTGTAAAGCGCTGAGCACACTGTTGGCGCCATAAATCCTGTATAATAATAAAAAAGTAAATCTTTCCCAAGAGGAACACAATGGGAACAGAACAGATGTTATAACCCTTTTCCATTCTATCCAAAGCTAAACAAATTCTGAACACCCTCTCATACTTTTGCTCAGGGGTGGACTGACAACTCATGGGGCCCCCGGGCAATAGGAGATCATGAGGCCCCTGTGTACTTGCCCACACTCAAAGCACACCCAAAAAAGACTATAAAAAGTATCAGGGGCATTTCATGGGGCCCCCTACTGACCCCAGGCCCACGGGCAGTGCCCGAGTGCTCGAATGGTCAGTCCGCCTCTACTTTTGCTCCAACAGGATCACAGCGCTCAACAAGGCAGAAACGTCCAATGGAGAATGGATGCCAAACTATATTTTTCCTGATTCGGGAATGCAGACTTGCTGATAAAGAGGAGTATTCTCCTATGTGCGAGGTGGTTAGATACCTCGTTTTTTGTCATGGTGAACTGCAATTTTTTCTAAAATGTATAAAGCGATTGTGTAGTGTTACTATTTACACAGACAGAGAGCTTAGCGGATTCCTTCTTTGAATAAAGAATAAGAATTTGATTCCTCCGGGAACTGTATGTATTTTGTTAGAATTGGCCACAGCATTGACTCGACAAGCTTCTGGCCAAACCGAGAAATGTTCTTATCTATCTTTTTTTCCTCTATATTTTTATATTTTCTTATTTAAACTGTGAAAAGGAAAAGAACAGGAACAGCGAGGTCTTCGTATCTGGGACATTAAGATGAAATTACTTATTCTTGACCTGCTTCTGTTATGACATACCAAATATAATGAATCTGGCCGTATTTCCTGATAATCCATTTATAAAATTCCGGCCTTGTAGAGGAGGGAAGAGCAGAGTCTGTTACATTTCATCCATCATGCAATGGATATTGGGCTGTATCATTTAACATCACAAACCCTGAAGGTAAACTGCCCTAATGCACTGAAAAAAATGTGCTGAATTATTTATTAATGAACACGGTGGAAAACTAAGTCACTGACTAGTCCTTTTAAAGGAAAACTACACGGCTTTAGGATCTTTTTTATATGCTTTTCATTTATTTTACATTTATAAGTTTTTAAATTGATGTTTTCCACAATTTTGTTTTCATTTTAAAATGAATATAAATATACAGTATGAAAACATAAATATTTAACCCTTTCACCCCAATGGACTATAATATGTACATGCCAAAGGCAAATTTAGCAAGGTTACCGTTGTTTAACTTGACTACGCTATGAATATATTAGCCATCGAAAGACTTTATATTTTTTTAAGGAAATTTAAGCATTTTAATTGGTATACTGTTTTATTAATACCCTGCTTGGTATTTATAACAGGCTGACAAGTAAATATACATAAACTGTATATACAGTAATATATATATTATAATTGTACTAGACAATTATATTATTAAACAGAGGCACACTGCCATCTGCAGGTTGATATGGATTTTTTTTTCTGAATGAAGCTTTTTGCTGACCTACTAATCACATGTTTGGGAACCACTCTGAACAGTTGGGTTTGACAGCCTTACAAAGTGTTGGCTGGTAATTGTAAAACTGAAGACAATTACTAACCTATCAACAGCACAAAGTTGAAATAAGTTAATACATAGATAATGATCGAGAAGGGGATTAAGGAAGCAAGACAGAGTATTCACAATGCATTGTGAGAGAGCAGAGAAACAACTTGCCTTCAGACTCTCTCTCTCTGGTTGAAACTCCATATGATCCTGTCTGTAGGGGGTAGAAAGTATGTTATGGAAGGGTGGATAGTGGAAGTACGTGGATATCCCCCTTATGTATTATACATGGAGATCATATCCCCCCTTATGTATTATACATGGAGATCATATCCCCCTTATGTATTATACATGGAGATCATATCCCCCCTTATGTATTATACATGGAGATCATATCCCCCCTTATGTATTATACATGGAGATCATATCCCCCCTTATGTATTATACATGGAGATCATGTATCCCCCCCCCCTTATGTATTATACATGGAGATCATATCCCCCCTTATGTATTATACATGGAGATCATATCCCCCCTTATGTATTATACATGGAGATCATATCCCCCTTATGTATTATACATGGAGATCATATCCCCCCTTATGTATTATACATGGAGATCATATCCCCCCTTATGTATTATACATGGAGATCATATCCCCCCTTATGTATTATACATGGAGATCATATCCCCCTTATGTATTATACATGGAGATCATATCCCCCCCTTATGTATTATACATGGAGATCATATCCCCCCCTTATGTATTATACATGGAGATCATATCCCCCCCTTATGTATTATACATGGAGATCATACCCCCCCCCATATCCCCCCCTTATGTATTATACATGGAGATCATATCCCCCCTTATGTATTATACATGGAGATCATATCCCCCCTTATGTATTATACATGGAGATTATACATATCATATCCCCCTTATGTATTATACATGGAGATCATATCCCCCCTTATGTATTATACATGGAGATCATATCCCCCCTTATGTATAACCCCCCTTATATACATGGAGATCATATCCCCCTTATGTATTATACATGGAGATCATATCCCCCCTTATGTCATTTATGTATATACATGGAGATCATATCCCCCCTTATGTATTATACATGGAGATCATATCCCCCTTATGTATTATACATGGAGATCATATCCCCCCTTATGTATTATACATGGAGATCATATCCCCCCTTATGTATTATACATGGAGATCATATCCCCCTTATGTATTATACATGGAGATCATATCCCCCCTTATGTATTATACATGGAGATCATACCCCCCCTTATGTATTATACATGGAGATCATATCCCCCTTATGTATTATACATGGAGATCATATCCCCCCCTTAATCTCCTCTTCTCAAGAGACAATAAATTCAGTTCCTCTAATCTTTCCTCATAGCTGATCTCCTCCATGCATCTTATAAATTTGGTTGCCCTTCTCTGTACTTTCTCAAGTTCCTCAATGTTCTTTTTGTTAATTGGTGCCCAAAACTGAACTACATATTCCAGATAAGGTGTTACTACTGATTTGTAACAGGATAATATGATATCTCTCTCTCTGGAGTCTATACTCTCCTAATACAAGAGAGGATTTTGCTCACTTTAGAACCCGCAGCTTTGCAATGCTGCCATTATTAAGCTTGTGATCTACCAGAACGCCCAGATCCTTCTCCACCATTGACCCCCCCCAGATCCTTCTCCACCCTTGATTCCCCCAGATCCTTCTCCACCATTGATTCCCCCCAGATCCTTCTCCACCATTGATTCCCCCCAGATCCTTCTCCACCATTGATTCCCCCAGATCCTTCTCCACCATTGATTCCCCCCAGATCCTTCTCCACCATTGATTCCCCCCAGATCCTTCTCCACCATTGATTCCCCCCAGATCCTTCTCCACAATTGATTCCCCCCAGATCCTTCTCCACCATTGATTCCCCCAGATCCTTCTCCACCATTGATTCCCCCCAGATCCTTCTCCACCATTGATTCCCCGCAGATCCTTCTCCACCATTGATTCCCTTCAGGTCCTTCTCCACCATTGATTCCCCCCAGATCCTTCTCCACCATTGATTCCCCCCAGATCTTTCTCCACCCTTGATTCCCCCAACATCCTTCTACACCATTGATTCCCCCAGATCCTTCTCCACCATTGATTCCCCCCAGATCCTTCTCCACCCTTGATTCCCCCCAGATCCTTCTCCACCATTGATTCCCCCCAGATCCTTCTCCACCCTTGATTCCCCCAGACCCTTCTCCACCATTGATTCCCCCAGATCCTTCTCCACCCTTGATTCCCCCAGACCCTTCTCCACCATTGATTCCCCCAGATCCTTCTCCCCTTCTCCACCATTGATTCCCCCCAGATCCTTCTCCACCATTGATTCCCTGCAGATCCTTCTCCACCATTGATTCCCCTCAGATCCTTCTCCACCATTGATTCCCCCCAGATCCTTCTCCACCATTGATTCCCCCCAGATCCTTCTCCACCCTTGATTCCCCCAGATCCTTCTCCACCATTGATTCCCCGCAGATCCTTCTCCACCATTGATTCCCCGCAGATCCTTCTCCACCATTGATTCCCCCCAGATCCTTCTCCATCATTGATTCCCCCAGATCCTTCTCCACCATTGATTCCCCCAGTTGTACTCCCCTAGTATGTATGATGCATGTATATTTTTAGCCCCCAAGTACAGAACCTTACATTTATCAATAATACAGAACAGGAGTCCACCCTGCCATTCCTCCCGAATACTAACAGCTGCAATGACGGGAGGAGAGGAGTCCACTCAGGCTACTAAGTGGTGTGGCCGCGGCCAGACAGGACTGTCAGTCTGTATTCGGACTGCGGTCAGCCATTTAGTGATGCCTGATCAACAGTATCTCCCTTACACCATCTATCCATCCAATATACCTATTTCTATCTATTTCACATCCAATTATCTATTTGTTTTTCCTTCCTAGCAGTAATCATACAAGTAAAGTTTTATATTTTAGTTTCATATATAAGATGAGGAGAGAAAAGACGCTCTCGCAGATGAAGATGACAGAGTGATAACAGATGCAGATAATAATCAGGTGAAATCTCCATGTAACATCTTCAACACAAGATTTACAGAAACCCGTTGCAATTTCTGAATGAGCGCTAATTACTAATATACATGCAGGCACCTGTGCTATATCTGTGTTTTGACAGCAGTTGCTCTATTTCAGAGTAACATGTATCATCACTTATTCCAGCGCCAGGAATAAAAATATTCTGGGAAGACAAACAATTCAAAACTCGCAAAGATCTGAAGCCTTCGCCCATCGTGGCGCTGAGCCTGAGAAACGTCATTCGTTGACACCGCTTGCAAAGTTGACAGAACTGAGCCTATAGCCTGGGGTCACCATAGCAACTGCAGGGATCAGCAGCCGAATGAAAGTCAACAGCCCGTGTGCTAAGTACCATTCCCAGGAATAACTACGGCTCTAACAAGAGGCCACACGTAAAAGACATGTCCTGGCAGCGACAGACATTACAGGACTGCAAAACTTAAACACAGCCCAGCCTAATAAAGAGATTAAACAAATATCCGCAATAAGCAAAAAAAAAAAAGGAGCTCCTGTACACTTCTGGTCGAGGGAGCGGTAAAAACAGAGGACTTACAGTGGATATAAAAAGTCTGCACACCCCTGTTAAAATGTCAGGCTTCTGTGATGTAAAAAAAAGAGACAAAGATAAATAATTTCAGAACTTTTTCCACCTTTAATGTGACCTATAAACTGTACAACTCTATTGAAAACAAACTTGAAAGCTTTTTTTTTGGTGGGGGGGGGAGTAAACATAAAAAAACTAAAATAATGTGGTTGCATAAGTGTGCACACCCTCTTATAACTGGGGATGTAGCTGTGTTCAGAATTAAGCAATCACATTCAAAATCGTGTTAAATAGGAGTCAGTACACACCCGCCATCATTTAATGTGCCTCTGATTAACCCCAAATAAAGTTCAGCTGTTCTAGTGGGTCTTTCCTGACAATTTCTTAGTCGCATCCTACAGCAAAAGCCATGGTCCAACTAGGGCTTCCAAAGCCTCTGAGGGACCTCACTGTTAAAAGGTATCAGTCAGAAGGGTACAAAAGAATTTCCAAGGCATTAGATATACCATGGAACACAGTGAAGTCAGTCATCATCAAGTGGAGAAAATATGGTGCAACAGTGACATCACCAACAGTGACATCACCAAGAACTGGACCGTCCAAAATTGATGAAAAGACGAGAAGAAAACTGGTCTGGCAGGCTGCCAAGAGGCCTAAAGCAACATGAAAGGAGCTGCAGGAATATCTGGCAAGTCCTGGCTGTGTGGTCCATGTGACAACAATCTCCCGTATTCTTCATACAGTATGTCTGGGCTATGGGGTAAAGTGGAAGATAGAAGCCTTTTCTTACCAAGAAAAACATCCAAGTCTGGCTAAATTTTGCAAAAACAAAGGCATCTGAAGTCTCCCAAAAGCATGTGGGGAAATGTGTTGTGGTGTGATGAAACCAAGGGTGAACTTTTTGGCCATAATTCCAAAAGATATGTTTTTGCACAAAAACAACACTGCACATCACCAAAAGAACACCATAACCACCGTGAAGCATGGTGGTGGCAGCATCATGCTTTGGGGCTGTTTTTCTTCAGCTGGAACTGGGGCCTTAGTCAAGGTAGAGGGAATTAGGAACAGTTCAAAATACCAGTCAATATCGGCACAAAACCTTCAGGCTTCTGCTAGAAAGCTTAACTTGAAGAGGAACTTCACCTTTCAGCATGACAACCACCCAAAGCATCCATCCAAATCAACAAAGGAATGGCTTCACTAGAAGGTGAAAGTTTTGGAATGGCCCAGCCAGAGCCCAAACCTGAATCTGATGGAAGATCTGTGGGGTGATCTGAAGAGGGCTGTGCACAGGAGATACCTTCGCAATCTGACAGATTTGGAGTGTTTTTGCAAGGAAGAGCGGGCAAATATTGCCAAGCCAGGATGTGCCGTGCTGATAGACTCCTCCCCAAAAAGACTGAGTGCTGGAATCACATCAAAAGGGGCTTCAACAAAGGATTAGTGTAAGGTTGTGAACACTTATGCAACCAGATTATTAAACTTTTTATTTTTACTTCCCTCCACCTAAAAGAGTTCAGTTTGTTGTTCAACTGAGTTGTACAGTTTATAGGTCATATTAAAAGGTGGAAAAAGTTCTGAAATGATCTTTATCTAATTTTTTTAATCACAGAAACCTGACATTTTAACCGGGGTGTGCACTTTTTTATATCCACTGTAGCTGTGTTTTTACTACCCCTAACCAGGGGCAGACTGACCATTTGGAAACTCAGACACTGCCCGAGGGCCCGGGGTCAGTAGGGGCCCCATGAGATGCCCCTGGTACCTTTTTCATAGGCTTTTTTGAGTTTGGGCAAGGACACAGGGGCCCCATGATCCTCTATTGCCCGGAGGCCCCATGAGTTGTCAGTCCGCCGCCCCTGCCCCTGACCATGGCTGTAATGCTCTGCTTCAAATGAATGGGACCGCGCCAAAACTGCATACAGTGCACCCAGTTGAGTGCAGTGGTGCAGCATTTACAAGCACTGAAGAGGTAACAGAAAAAGCAATTCATTGTGGAGTGCTTTTCAGAGGGGCAGCAAAGTCTGCCATATGTGTAAACGTAGCCTTACTAATACATTCTGCTATACTGAAAACTTTACTCCAGGATTGTGACAAACACCGGTCAGACCACTGTCACCTTCACCAACTTGTGACAAATGGCTGGTCAACCTCACACCGCGCTGTCACTAATACGCAACAATGACACTCTCAGCCTCACCCAGCACAAAGATTTTCCAGCTTACGGGACCACAATTTAAGTGCCAACAGACTGAGTGAGTGCGATTGTCACTGGGTCTAGTTAACTAAGCAATTAACTCATTAAACTGCCGCCAACTTTTATCGAGAAGTAGTAAAAGTTCACAAGATTAGCAACAGCAACACTAATTTTAGCAATAGCAATGCTAATTTTAGAGTAAACGTCTGTAACACATGTTGTCACCACAGACAGGTACAGTATTTGCAGAGATTTACACTACGGTAACGCTCTTCAAGAGACCGATTTTTTGGGCTCTGTTTTAGGGCATTAGGGACAATTTAACACTTTTAAAAATATTGTTTAACCCCTTAACGCCATGCCTCCAAGTCCTTTAACCACTTCAAGTCCGGACACTTTCACCCCCTTCCAGTCCGGACACTTTCCCCCCTTCCAGTCCGGACACTTTCCCCCCTTCCAGTCCGGACACTTTCCCCCCCCTTCCAGTCCGGACACTTTCCCCCCCTTCCAGTCCGGACACTTTCCCCCCCTTCTAGTCCGGACACTTTCCCCCCCTTCCAGTCCGGACACTTTCCCCCCTTCCAGTCCGGACACTTTCCCCCCCTTCCAGTCCGGACACTTTCCCCCCCCCCTTCCAGTCAGGACACTTTCCCCCCCCTTCCAGTCAGGACACTTTCACCCCCTTCCAGTCAGGACACTTTCACCCCCTTCCAGTCCGGACACTTTCCACCCCCCTTCCAGTCCGGACACTTTCCCCCCCTTCCAGTCCGACACTTTCATCCCCTTCCAGTCCGGACACTTTCATCCCCTTCCAGTCCGACACTTTCCCCCCCCTTCCAGTCCGACACTTTCCCCCCCCCCCCCTTCCAGTCCGGACACTTTCCCCCCCCCTTCCAGTCCGGACACTTTCATCCCCCTTCCAGTCCGGACACTTTCCCCCCCTTCCAGTCCAGACACTTTCCCCCCTTCCAGTCCAGGACACTTTCCCCCCCTTCCAGTCCAGACACTTTCCCCCCTTCCAGTCCAGACAAACTTTCCCCCCTTCCAGTCCGGACACTTTCCCCCCTTCCAGTCCAGACACTTCCCCCCCCTTCCTGTCTGGACACTTCCCCCCCCCTTCCAGTCTGGACACTTTCACTCCCTTCCAGTCCGGACACTTCCCCCCCTTCCAGTCCGGACACTTTCACCCCCCCTTCCTGTCCGGACACTTCCCCCCCCCCCCCACTCCAGTCCGGACACTTTCCCCCCCCCTTCCAGTCCGGACACTTTCCCCCCCCCCCTCCAGTCCGGACACTTTCCCCCCCTTCCAGTCCGACACTTTCCCCCCCTTCCAGTCCGGACACTTTCCCCCCCTTCCAGTTCGGACACTTTCCCCCCCTTCCAGTCCGGACACTTTCCCCCCTTCCAGTCCGGACACTTTCCCCCCCTTCCTGTCCAGACACTTTCCCCCCTTCCTGTCCAGACACTTTTCCTCCCCCTTCCAGTCCAGGACACTTTCCTCCCCTTCCAGTCCAGACACTTTCCCCCCCTTCCAGTCCAGACACTTTCACCCCCTTCCTGTCCAGGCCAATTTTCAGCTTTCAGCGCTATCACACTTTGAATGACAATTGCGCGGTCATGCAACACTGTACCCATATGAATTTTTTAGCATGTTTAGCAATTTAGCATTTTCGATAATATACCAGCTGACGCGTTTCCAAGGGCGAAATGTCAGGGATCCCGTCGCTGTGCAGCGGTGCGACGGCGACGGATCCCCTCGAGTCACGTCTGGCGGGCTATTTAAACCTGCTTCAGATTCAAATCACTGCCTTCTGGTCTAAATACGTTCCTGCTTACATTTTCCTGATTCTGATCCTGACACCTGTATTCTGTATACCCGCCTAAGAAAGAACTCCGCCTGCACCGACCCCAGCTATCCCTGACCATTCTTCTGCTTGCTCCTCTTGTACTCATCTGCCCACTTGTAACCGACCCGGCCTGCCTGACTCTGCTGTATTACTCTGCCTGCACCTGCACCCGACCTGCGTTCTGTCAGCTACCATATCCATCTACCGCTGCACCCACGGCTCTGCATCTGGACCACCGCTATACCCATCAGTCACCGCATCCACGCACTGGTGCTCGGTCCCAAATCCCGCACCCTGACTGCCGCCACACCTGCTTGCTGCTGCATCTACGTCCCTGCGTCCGCACCTGGCTTGTGTCTGGACCTCCCGGGTCCCAGCTACCTACTGACAGCCGCAAGATCTACACAGCACTCCTGCCCCTCCTGGCTCTGCGCCCGTTCCCACCTTCAGGGGTTCCAAGCAGGAGTTGCAAGAGGACGCTCTGTCTCCACTTCAGGCTCCCCAACCAGGTACGTGACACGAACCTTCTTCATCAGAGCTCTGATGAAGAATGTTCGCCGTTCGAAACACGTCAGCTGTTCTCTGAGTGTCTACTCCTCTGATGGGACTCGCGCAGGCTGCTTTTATCCTTCGTCCCTTTGAGGACTTACATGCATGATATACTTCAGTGTTTGTGAGTATTATTCTTTAATTAATAAATTTTGGCTTACTGAGGTAATGCGCAAGGTTGGTGCGCTCTTTGTTTGTTTTCACTTCACAGTATTGGTCGGGCTTCCTCAGCCTTGTTTGGAGCTGCACAACCCCATATGCACTGGTGGTAGAAACTTCCAAGTCCTGACTTCAACTACCTACCCCGGGTTGGGTCATAGAGCGCAAGAGAGTTTTCTTTCTATTGTGATCACTGGTTGGCCAATCAGTGATCACATGATCGGGACCTCACACAGAGGTCCCGTATGACGATCGGTGTTCCACTGTGTCCGGAGGACACAGCGGGCACCGGATTTCGGTGCTGCACGCTCCTAGGGAGTGCGCACAGTCCAAAATGGCGGTTGCCGTTTATGAACAGCAACCCGCCCCTGGACTGCCACCGTCCGGCCGTTTATATACAGCGGCCGGATGACAAGTGGTTGAGGAGTTTCAGATGCTGGGAGGCAGGGAGGGGTGTTAAATCATGTGACCGGCTGTCACATGATTGGAAGGCTCCTGATTGTAAGTAGCAATTTGGCACTTTCTGTCTGTGCCGGGAGCATGCAGGGCGCATGCTCTTGACCAGGGGCGGACTGACCATTGGGGAACTCGGGCACTGCCCGAGGGCCCGGGGTCAGTAGGGGGCCCCATGAGATGTCCCTGGTACCTCTCATAGGCTTTTTTGGGTGTGGTTTGAGTGTGGGCGAGGACACAGGGGTCCCATGATCCCTATTGCCCGGGGGCCCCATGAGTTGTCAGTCCGCCCCTGCTCTTGACACATATTATATTTGTTTACATTTGGGTATGCAAATATGCGGCTTATCTGCATCAAGGCCCTGTGTACTGTCAGCGCAAAGGGTTAATAATGAAAAAAATAATGCACAGAAAATATTTCCAGAAAAAAGGTATTACAAAGAGACTGCAGCAAAACAAAAAGGGTTGAAAAAAAATGACAGTACTTATCAAGTCCTGGTTCAGCAGTCTCCAATCAACTAGTAACATGGTATAATGACTCTTTTACGACTTGACAGGTGTTCCTTGGTTTGATGGTAAAACAAGAGCTGTCAAATGAGGTTGCAGTCTCCTTTTCTGGACCTCGAAGAGGTGTTGCCAAAAAATGACTTCACTAATCATCCAGTCTAATGCAGGCCATAGATGGGGAGAAAAACGGCAGATTTTCGGCCGATTAACGAACTATCGGTCGGTCTAAAAAACTTACCTGACCACCAATTATTACGAAAATCGGCCGATTAATGAGTAACCTATAACGGGAAATGATGTCATTTTGTGGCCTTTGTGATCCTTTTTCGGAAAACGATCGTTCGTTTTTGACCATCAATGAGGATAAAGTCGGGCGTTTTTTCGAAAATTTTCCAACATCACCGATAATCTGAAAGTCCAAAATACACGAAAAACGGCCGACAAAATCGTCCACTAACGATAAGATAATCGGCCGGTTTTATTTTCGGACGAAAAATCGGCCGTTTTTCTCCCCATCTATGGCCTGCATAAAGGTGTGGCTGCTGGGATGTCACTGTGTTTAAGACCATGTCCCAGATACAGTTTTTTATAGGTATTAATATCTTTGAAAACCTATATGTTAGTCTGCTAACTTATTTATTATTATACAGGATTTATGGCGCCAATAGTTTGCTCAGTGCTTTACAATATACAGGGAGACAATACAACAACTGGTATATTATTGTAGAGGATGCAATTACCTTTTGAATGGATATAAAAATGACAGGTTTTGGATGCCCAGCTCGCCTATGAGAGAAAAATTGGGCCAGTTCTGCTCTTGGTACTGCTAGGGTAGCAGTGTTTGGACTCCAAATGCTACCTACTAACTGATGGAGGTAAATACACTATATTCCCAAAAGTATTTGGACACCCCTCCAAATCATTGGATTTAGGTGTTCCAATCCCCTCCATGGACACAGGTGTATACAATCAAGCCCCTAGGCATGCAGACTGCTTCTACAAACATTGGTGAAAGAATGGGTCGCTCTCAGGAGCTCAGTGACTCCAAGCGTGGTCCCGTGATAGGTGGCCACCTGTGCAATAAGTCCATCCGTGACATTTCCTGGCTACTAAATATTCCACGCTCAGCTGTTAGTGGGATTATAACAAAGTGGAAGCAACTGGGAACAACAGCAACTCAGCCACGAATTAGTAAGCCACGCTGAAGAACACAGTGCGCAGAAGTCGCTAACTGTCTGCAGTCAACAGCTAAAGACCTCCAAACTTCACGTGGTCTTCAGATGAGCCCAACAACAGTGTGTAGAGAGCTTCATGGAATGGGTTTCCATGGCCGAGCAGCTGCATCCAAGCCTTCCATCACCAAGTGCAATACAAAGCGTTGGATGCAGTGGCGCCACTGGACTCTAAAGTAGTGGAGATTTGTTCTCTGGAGTGACCAATTACTTTTATCTGTCTGGCAATCCGATCGACGTGTCCGGGTTTGGCGGTTGCCAGGAGAACGGTACTTGCCTGACTGCATTGTACCAAGTGTAAAGTTTGGTGGAGGGGGGATTATGGTGTGGGGGTGTTTTTCAGGGGTTGGGCTTGGCCCCCTAGTTCCAGTGAAGGGAACTCTTAAGGCGACATTTTGGACAATTTCATGCTCCCAACTCTGTGGGAGGAGTTTCAGGACGGCCCCTTCCTGTTCCAACATGACTGCGCACCAGTGCACAAAGCAAGGTCCATAAAGACATGGAGGAGCCATTTTGGGGTGGAAGAACTTGACTGGCCTGCACAGAGTCCTGACCTCAACCCCATAGAACACCTTTAGGATGAATTAGAGCAGAGGCTGCGAGCCAGGCCCCCTCCCCCGACATCAGTGCCTGACCTGACAAATGTGTTTCTGAAAGAATGGTCCAACCTTCCCATAGACACCCTCCTAAACCTTGTGGACGGCCTTCCCAGAAGAGTTAACGCTGTTATAGTTGCAAAGGGCGGGGCCAACTCAATATTGAACCCTATGGACTTAGACTGGGGGGCATTAAAGTTCATGTGCGTGTAAAGGCAGGTGGCCCAGTACTTTTGGCAATATAGTGTATGTCCTTATTC